TAAACAAGCACCAGTAAACCTAAGGTTAGATTTGCTGTGAATTGTTTATGGTCATTGGATAAAACAGGAAGTCTTAATTCAACCCCGAAGAAAAAATGCTTCTGCAAGGGACATGATCCCAAGATGCTAAACACCTGTAATTAGCCTACCACTCTATGGATTTATCACTGAAACTGGAAAAGTTAATCTAGTTCCATGTTGATTCCTATAATACACTGTGCTTGCTTGCTAAACATATCATTGAATAAAATAACTTAAAAGTTGCTGGTCATTTTTATATCTTAGGAGAAAAATGATACATATTATTCTTTGATTTCTGTTTTTAACTTAAAGGTTTATAGGGTCTAAATAGGTACTGTTTTTGAATAGGGATTATTTCTTTCTAGTACCACTATAATAAATAGTATAAGATAAAATGTTTCAAAGCAATTACTATAAAAATAGCATAGTAGTTAAATTCTACTTTCAACTAGTCAAAATTCATTTGTATTTTCAGCATTTTCTAGCTGGAGGGTCAAGGTGGTTTGACCTACTCATTTTACTGCACTTACTAGCTCACTTATCAAGGTGTATTGAACACCTATTATATGCCAGGCACTATTCTAGGCACTTGTGATGTAGCAGTGAGCAAAAGAAAGTTACTACCATAATGGAGCTGAATTCTAGTGAAGGTAGCTGACTAATTTGTAATAAAAACCTAATTCATAATATTCTCTATGGAATCAAGAGTTTTCAGAGGAGCAATAATCTTGAAATAAATATGCTTTAACATAGAGTAAACATTACTCCATACAAGTAATTATACAGCTTTTGTGGACACTCACCATATCACTATATACTCTGTGTATTTTCATAGGCCCAGCTGAGCATGTTCTCTGAAGGGAAAAAAAATTGCTGCCAGGCAGGACCTCTGAATAGTCTTTCCTACAGGAAACCTGAGACATAAATTTAATATTTATTAAACTTAAATTTGACCCAAATATAAACCATATGGCCAACTTCTAGTGGAGTATTGTATTAAAACAAAAATATATAGTCCAATGACCATAGTGATTTAAAAAATAATCCCCACTTTTATTTAGATCTGACAAAGAGCATTAAATAGAAACCAATTCGTAATCTTTATCAATACTTCTAGAAATCTCCTCTCTTGTTCTTAATTCCCCCACAGTTGCTCCTGAGCCTCTCAATCTCAATTTCCAAACGCTTGCCAATTGTAAAAGCCCCAGCCCATTTGGCTTATTTATATATTCTTATCTTCCTTTCCTCCCACCTTTCCAGTTCTCTCCCACCCCTTTCCCTCTTACAGAATCAGATCCAAAGGTCACTGTGGTCCACTAGTCAGAGTGGGGGCTTATGAAGGTGAAATGATCAAGAAAGTTTTGACTCAGATCCATCTCACAGCAGGCCCAATGTGTCTCCAAAACCAAACTGCAGTTATATCTCCTGTTTCAGAATGGATAATTGGAATAGACAAAACTCTGGTATGCAGAATTCCCACCTTGGTTTCCTGAGCTTTGGCAAAAGGACTACTATAGTGGGAAAGGCCAAGTAGAGGCCACCACAACTGCCTTTACCCAGAAAAGTAATAAACCAAAAGCAAACTCTGGAGGGACTTCATAAATTAGTGGCATCACAAAGGTCTTGAAAGATGCGGAGGTGGTGATTCCCACCATATCCCCATTCTACTCTCCTATTTAACCTATACAGAAGACAGTTGAATCTTGGAGAATGACAGTGGAGTATCATACACCTGACCAGGTGATGACTCATTGGGCAGCTGCTATACCAGATGTGCTTTCATTGCTTGAGCAAATTAACACATTTCCTCATACCTGGTATGTAGCTACTGGTGGATCAAATGCTTTTTTCTCAGTATCTATTAGTAAAGACCACCAGATACAGTTGCTTTTAGCTGGCAAAATGAGCTATCTACCTTCACCGTCCTGTCTCAACTCTTCAACCTCATTATAATTTAGTTCACAAGAATCTTGACACCTGTGCTTCCCATGACATTCAACCATGCAAAAATATGACAAAAAAAGATGTGATATTCAATCATGATATAATGCTGATTGACCTAGTGAGCAATAGGGAGTAACTACTGTACATTCATTGGTAAAGTACTTGGCAGGTTCAAAAGTGGAAAATAAGTCAAACAAAAACTCAGGGACCTTCTACCTCAGTGAGATTTCTAGAAGTTTGCTGTTGTCAGGCATATTGAGATATCCCTTTTAAAGTGAACCATCTGGTCCCTCTTACAACCAAGAAAGAGACACAATGTCTAGGAACCTCTTTGGATTTGGGAGGCAACATATTCCTCATTTTCAGTACACCAGCCCTTACTGGCACATCCTTGAAAGAGAGTAATGAGAGTAAATCTTCCCGGTGGGCAAAATTTGGGGCAGTGTACCTGCTGTGCACTTCACTTGGAAGTAATAATGACCAGATATATGATTATTATATACCAATTAATAGGTGTGGCTAATGATTTGGCTGCATGTTCACGGGCTTGGAAGGAAAGCAATTGAAAAACTGATGACAAGGAAATTGTGGGGAATGGGTACATGGATAAGGATTTTTGAATTGAAAAATAAAAGTGAAGATATTTGCATCCATATGAATGCACATCAAAAGGTGACAGAAAGGAGAATTTTAATAAATAAATGGTTAATATGGCCTCTTTCTTTCCCTTACTACCCCCATCATTGCCCAATGGGCTCCTCAACAAAGTGGCCATGGTGGCAGGAGTAGAGGTTATGCACTGACCCAGCAACATGGATTCCCATTTACTAAAGTCAACCTAACTATAACCAATGCTGAGACCAATCTAAGAGACCAACACTGAATCCCCCCAGAGTGATCAGTCAGCCACCCAATAACCAATTGATTATATAGGAACTCTTCCATCATAGAAAGGGCAATGTTTTGATCCTACTGCATAGACACTCTGGATACAAATTTGCTTTCCCTGCATGCATTGCTTCTGCCAAAATTACCATTCATGGACTTATAGGATGCTTTATCCACCATCAAGGTGCCCCCAAACAGCATTACTTTTTATTAAGAAAATTAATTTACAGCAAACCAAGTGTTTCAAGTGGTTCAGTTCATGCTTGTTGAATTCTCTGGTCTTATGTTCCCCACCAGCCTGAAGCGGCTGGCTTGAAATAATGATGGAAGGGTTGAAGACAGTCCCAATGTCAGCTGGTGACATTACCTTGTAGGGCTAGGACAAGATTCCACAGAAAGCTATCTATGCTCCAAATGAACGACAAATGTGTTATTGGGCAAGTGGCTTGACTTTGTTTTTTCCCTCTCAAAAATGGAAATAATAATGTAATGGGGAGGTTATAAAAATTACAGAAGAACATACATTTAAGTGTTTAAAACAATTTCTGCTATAAAATAAACATTCAGATGTTTTAACCATTAGTATAATTATTTGTCCTCTTACTACTGTGTGTGTGTGTGTGTGTGTTTACATGTGTTCCTCAAATCTCTGTTCTCTCCAGACAGCCAGAGTAATTTTTTAAAAGGGGGAGGAATTATATTTTCTGCTAAAACTTCTCAACTTCCCAATAAATTTGCAATGAAATAAAAGCTGCTTATTACTGCCTATATAACCATGGATGTTTTAACTAATGACTACCCTTGCCAATTTTATACCATGCTATTTCCTTCCCCGTATTAGTCAAGGGTTCAGGAGGAACCTGATAACCCACTCCAAAGGGTAATTGAAGAAACTTTACAGAGGTGAAGGCAGGGTCAAAGGGCCCAGGGACTTTAAAGGACCCAAGGACTTTCAACTATTGGAACAGTAGAAAGCTATTGCCACCCTAGTCATGCAGGAACAACAGTAGAGGGAGTCACCAGAATTGAAGCTATGAGGAGGATATAGGGAAAAGGATACACTCATACCTTTTGTTGGTAGGGACTGCAAATTGGTACAACCACTCTGGAAAGCAGTATAGAAATTCCTCAGAAAACTTGAAATGGAACCATCATTTGACCTAGTTATCCTATTCCTCAGTATATATCTAAAGAAGTTAAAATCAGCATTCATCAGTGATGCAGCCACATCAATGTTTATAGCAGCTTAATTCACAATAGCTAATCTATGGAGCCAACCTAGGTGCCCTTCAACGGATGAATGGATAAAGAAAATGTGGTATATATACACACAATGGAATATTAATTAGCCATAAAGAAGAATGAAAATATGGCATTTTCTGGTAAATGGTTGGACCTGGAGAGTATTATGCTAAGTGAAATAAGCCAATCCCCCCTCCCCCCAAAAAAGGCCAAATGTTCTTTCTGATATGTCGATACTAACACACAATAAGGGGAAGGGGTGAAGGAAGAATAGAAGTTCATTGTATTAGGCAAATGGGGAGTGAAGGGAAGGGAAAGGGGATGGGAAAGGAAAATCAGTGGAACAAATCTGATATAAGTTTTCTGTGTATATATATATATATATATATATATATATATATATGAATATACCACAGTGAATCTTACCATCATGTACATCCACAAGCACTTAATTAAAAAAAAACACTATGGGTAAATGGCAAAGAAATCAATAGAAGGGAGGATCAGGGAGTGTGGGGAGGGGAGGGGAAGGAAAGGTACTGGGGACTGAATTAGAACAAGACATATTCCATGATTTTATAATTATCTCAAAATGGATTCTTCTGTCATGTATAACTAAAAAGAACCAACAGGGGCTGGGGTTGTGGCTTGGGAGTGTAGTGCTTCGCTAGTGCATGCGAGGCACTGGGTTTGATCCTCAGCACCACATAAAATAAATAAATAAAGGTATTTAAAAATGAACCAATAAAAAAAAATAAAAGAATTGGAGGTATGAGGCCAGTTGCAGGAAGCACGCATGTCCTTGGGTAGAGGGAAGAAGCCACTACCATCTTATAGCCTGCAGGATTAGAAGGACAGGAATAAAGACTCTGACCTGCTTTCTCCTCCTGCCCTCTGAACTCCAGCCAGTGCCTCCCATTGGACAAACTCGACTAGAAGACACAAGTACCCAGGAATGCAGTTTGAAAGGTGAGCCTACCCATGCACAGAACCGGTGGCACAGAGGGCAAATGGAAAATGCCCAGTATAGATGATTTCTTTGTCCCTCAATATGCTCTTCTGTCCTGTATCTGGATGAAAACTCATGAACCCAACTCAGGGAAAACAGTCCTATGTTGTAGTGATCTTGGGTGTGATGTTGACATAGTCAGTTCACCCACTTTGAACTTAAATTGTAAAGTTACTCACCACCAGTGTGCTTCGAATAAGGTAGCAGAAACAGGGAAGGAAAGGATACAATCCATATCCAAATGGAATTTTCTTAAATCAGGAGCCTGACTCCTTTGGGGTCCTCATACCCTATCCATCAGGCACTTCCTCTCTATAGTAGCCAAGACAACTGACCCCAATTAACATGGGAAAATTGGGTTGCTGTGACAGTAGGAACAAGGAAGATTATTTGGAACCTAAGGGGTTTGCAAGGACACAGCTCTTCTCCCCTATCCCCAGAATGCTCATCAGTAGGAAATCATGGTAATCCAGTAAAGACAAGACCACTTCTGACTTGTATCCTATAAGCATGGAGGTTTGATTCATCCCACCAGGTAAAAATTTCCAATCGGCCAAGGTTCCAGCAGAAAGCAAGAGAACATAGAATACAGCATGATTATCAGCATGGGCCTTATGACCAGCTAAGACGCAGGGACTGCAGCAGCCCAAGTTTCATGGAATTAAGACTCACATAGAAGCAGTCTTCTCTGAAACTCTAGGGCCTCCAAACCTACCTTATCCAAAGTCTTAAGGAGAGAAGACAATTCCTTATGTGGATTATTAGGTAAAACAGTGAGAGAAGCAATTCTCATTTTCATTCTTCAGACTTGGAAAGTTCTTGAAATGCTTAACGAATAAGCAGCTTCCTCTATAAGGTGCATCCCTCAATCTTTACAGGGCTGGCTTCTTACTTCTGACTCAGCTCAAAGGCCATCTCTTAAGCTGTTTTCAGGACTATCTATTCTCTAAGGAATGAGCTTTCCATGCCCTTCTATTCACTATCTTATTGCAGGTTTTAATTCTTTCCCAGGCATTTCACACGCTCTGAAATTTTTTTCTACTTCTTGTTTCTCTCCCTGCCCTCCACAAATTCTTGACTTTGTCTTATTTCTTCAGTATTTAGAACAGTGCCTGGTACCTAGAAGATGTTCTGAATAACATGTAGAAGGATGGCCTCCAAGAATAAGACAAGAGGAGACATGTGTCAAAATTCAAGAGTGAGCCAGAAGATTCCTGTACCGAGGACAATCCTTTCACTACAAGAAGAAATTCAGAAGCATAGCTCTAGAACTGATGAGCATGCTAAAGTGTTCTATCATTATTTGTACTCCATCTTAAAGTAATCCGGATGGCATAAGGATTCAGATGGGAAATCTTTAAGCCCATTACTTTGATTTAATTATGGACACAAAATGAAAATATGGACTTTGGAGAGAAAGAGCCTTAGAAGAAGGATTACTTGCCCTGTTATAGCCTCCTTCTTAAAAGAAGTTTGGAATGTATAAAAATTATATATATATATATATATATATATATATATATATATATATATATATATATATATATATAGTTTTAGGTGGACACAAAATCTTTATTTTATTTTTATGTGATGCTGAGGATTGAACCCAGTGCCTCAGGCATGCTAGGCGAGCTCTACCCTCTGAGCCACAACCCCAGCCCCAAGAACAGTGTTTTAAGGACTGAAATTCATGAAGTCAGAGGAGGACTGTCTTGTTCCTCTGTATCATGCCATCCCCTCCCAAAGCTCCTAGCAGTGAGGATGCCAGGTGGAAAAGCTCTGGGAATCTTGTGCAATGCTTTAGCACCCACGGAACAGAAGTGAAGTTGAACCACACCCAGCAAATAACTACCACTATAAAAAAAATGCATCCTCTGAGGTGCCTTTCCATGTAAGTGACAAGTCACAATGTTGTAACTTGTCACACATTTTTCCAAACAATCCCTAATCCCGTTGTTCTTACTTAGATCAGAAGCACAGAGTGGACATGTCTATACTCCCTTACCAACCCAGTGAACTTGGGAATGGGGGCCATAGCCCATGTCACAGCAGCCACAGATAACAAACCACCCACATGAGCACCCTGTTTATTTTAAAATAATAGGTCCTCTGAGAATCCACATGACATCCCAAGTGCTGGATGGTACATCTGAAAGTGCTGAGAGAGCTGAAAAGTACACACAGCCAAGCAAGTCCCTGCTGAATACACATCTAAGGAGGTTTGCATGTATTGTTTATCCCAGCAACTTTATGGAATAAATTACGTACAACAAATTAGTTTCAGATGTAGGATGTGAATAGCTGATGTGCAGTATAAAGGAAGGTGAACTCCCACTTATGACCCAACCATTTCCCCTCTTGGGCATCTCAGACTCAGAATCCAGATGCAATTCATTTTTGAAATGCAGTGGGGATCAGAAAGTTAATAAGTGGTGAGGATTAGAGATTTCGAAAAGCAATTTATGAGTATTGTTAACTCATTATATTGTCCTATGATTTTGGTTGTTGTACGTGAAGCCAAGGATAAGACTGAACCCATCCTTCCTCCATCCCTTCATCATACACAGCAATCAAAACCAAATTCATTCCTGACATTTCCTACCTCCATAGATATCCCATAATAGATTCAACTCAATGCACATTCAAAACTCTACTGCCTACCACATGGGGACAATCATTTATATTTCTGAAAGAGACAAAATGTCTTTTCCTATTCCCTCCCCATCAAAAACAATCTTACAATTTTTTTTTTTTAGTTCACACAGTGAAATTGATGACTTTTGGTGTACAGTTCTATGAACTTTTCTAAATGTTAGGCACAGAAGGACCCACCACTGCAATTAGTTGCAGAACAATTCTATTTCCCCAAAATTATCTGGTGATGCTACTTTCTAGTCCCCCACCTACCTTTAAGCACTGGAAAACTACCAGTCTGTTCTTGGTCTTATGTTTTCAAGAATGTCATATAACTGTCATGTAACATTTCACTCAGCACAATGCCGCTGAGGTTCAACCAAGTAGCTGCACAGGTCCATAGCCTGTTCCTTTGCCCTGTTGGGTAGCTGTCCACTGTAGAGAAGTGCCAGTTTGTTTATCCATTCACCCATTGAAGGACACTTGAGTTATTTCCTTGTTTTTGTGAATTATGGGTAAAGCTATAACATTTGTGTACCAATTCTTCTGTGAATATCAGTTGTCAGATCTCTTGGGTAAATACCTAGGACTGGGGGTGCTCAATCACGTGGTACATGTATGTTTAGAAACCGCCAGACTTTTTCCAGAGTAGTTGACATAATGTCTTTCTCATAAGGTGAAATAATAAAAACTATTAAAAGTGCCCCCTGCCGGCTTGTTACCTTGTTTAGGTGATTCCAATAATGTTAGACACCATGATAAAATATTGCTCCCAAAATCATCAGTGGCATTTGATTTTACTTTCTACTGTGAAAGCTTCAAGTAACTCTTAATATTTTTAACACAATTTTTAAAACAAAATTAGATGCTTGACAATTGTAGAAACATAAGACCTTGAGGAATCTACTCATGACTGAGGAAATTTTAGCGAGAGAGGGAGAAACAGGAAAAAATTTTCACCACAGCCAATTTAAGCAATTTAACCCAGTGTCACATGCATCAAGTCCAACTTTTAATTCATAAAAAAAGTCTCTCTCTGTCCTTCCCTCCAAAAACATCCACCCCAGGCTAATTACAGAAAATAGAACCTGAGCACCAGCCAGAAAAGATTCACAGTTGCCACTCTTCAATAGCTACTTTAATGGGAAACACATGTGCAAGATACCACCCAGAAGATCACTGACCAGGATGCTCTGAAAAAAAAGGAATGCCACCCAAGGTGGCTTACTCTCCCGATTAGGCTGAACCCAGGAATATGCTTGAGGCCATTTTTGTTTTTATATAAATATGGGTGGATCCAAAGATGAGATGCAGAGATAGAAATTAATTAATCTATAACAATGAAGTTGAAAGGCAGTGACTAGAAGTAGCCCTCACTAATTATCTGCATGCCCCTCAAATCATTGTCCAACAGATTTAGAGAGTTCTTATTGAAGTTAACATGAGAAATCCTGCAAAGGAATTAAAAGAAAAGACAGAGTGATGACTGCTCTTCTTAGATAATAACACTAATACTCATTATTTGCTACCTCTAGTACTGTCCTGAGTGCCCGTACATGGAACATCTCATTATATATAACTAATATATGGAACATCCCTAATATATAACTACAGGGTAGGGATTACCTCTACTGTATTAGTCAGCTGGGGCTGTCATAACAAAACACCATGGACAGGTGGCTTAAAAAACACAAATTTATTTCTCATATTTGGAAGCTGGAAAGTCTAAGGTCAAGGTGCTAGCCAATTCAGTCCCTGGTGAGAGCCTTCTTTCTGGCTTGCAAATGGTTGAGTTTCATTGTGTCTTCAAGTGGTGAGGAGAGAGAGAGAAGGGGCGAGGGAGAAAGAAAGCTTGCCGATACCTCTCTTTATGAGGGCACTCATTTCATCATAGGAGCCCTATCCCTCATCTAGCAATAATTACTTCCCAAAGATTCCATCTTCAAATTACCATCACTGGGGATTAGGGCTTAGGCAGAGGAATGGGGAGGCCACAATTCAGTCCATAGCATTCGCTATACAAATAGATGATATTTTTGAGAGTTTAAGGACTTTATAATGGATCACTCAGTCAGCAATCAGAAGAGCTTTAACTTGAATGGAAGGCTGTCTGACTCCAGGGTATAACGTCTACCATTCATTCACTGCCACTAAGGGCCAGGTGCTTCTACGTGACATCTCTGATCTTCGCAGAAAACCATCCAAGTCTTTCCTCATTTGTCTTCCCTTTGACAGATACGGAAACTTGACCCCAAATAGCTGTTCACAACCCACCATCTGAATCTGATTTACTGGCTCATAATTTATCCTAGTGATAAGTAAGGTAGTCCCCAAGCCAGCATCATTGCCATCATTACCTGAGAACTCATTATAATTCAGACTCTAGGACAGAACCGTAAATAAACTGAATCAGAAACTCTAGGATGGTGTTCATGATCTGTGCTTTAAAACCATGCCTCCTAGTCCATTCTGATTCATGCTGAAGTTTAAAAACTATTTGTCTGCTCCATACATTGATTGAAATAACTAATGTGTTCAAAACCCAATAATAAGTGGTATATCCAGGACTCAAGTACAGGTCTACGTGGTACTGAAACGTGTGGCCTTTTCTATTCTATCCCGTCCCACTCTAACATTACCAAAGGGAGATCTTGGGGATGGAACATGTTTTAAATGAAGCATGATTGCAGGGCACAGTCCTGAATTCTGCTTTGTCACTATAACACTCCTCAGTTCTCCCACCTGTAATAAGGTGACACAGAAAAATGTGAAAGCACAGTCCCTGAGAATTAATAATGTTGCTTTCCATTGGGCAAAAGATACTTTTTGGTATGAACTAGAAAAACAAACTTTGTGAAACATTTATTTGGGCCTGAGAATTTTGCATCCCACCTAGTGAAAATGAGAAGCAATTTAGTATTTGGAAATAATAAGTATGGAACAGTTATTTCCTTAAAAATGAATTTTAGACCTCTATTTTGTATTGAAAAATCATACTTAATTCATCTAATTAATCCCTGCTCTGTCTACATAGAGTTGCTTTATAATTATACTATTCCCCTTTAAGGAACAAGACTATATTATATAAGTGTATCAAGTTGTAAGATTTATGTAAAGAGGTAAAAGTAGGCCTTTGGGAAAGGTTATTTCCAATACAAATTTGGTCACCTGCTCTTGTGGTTAGTCTCACCTCTAAAACATTATTGAAGTATTATTAATAGGTACCAATCACTGCGCCAATCCATCATCACACTAATGTGAGATGGATTTTAGGATTATTCCATTTGCACAGATGAGAAAACTGAGAATCAAAGTGGTTAAGTAACATGCCAGAGCTCATTCAGCCTGGAAGCATGGTGCCCTAGATTAAGCCCATTAAAGAGCACTTGCTGCATATTCATCCAGACACTGACCCTTGGCTCTGTAAAGATGGGCCTAGCATTGTTCTACATCTGGATTACTTCCAGAGATCCATCTGTGAGCCTGCCTAGCCCCAGCCACAGGGAGCATGGCCCTCCCAGCTTTGGCACTCCATCTGGAGAGAATGAAAGGGAACAGCAAGAGGTGACTCAGCAGCCCTGAAGACACTCCCTCAATGCAGTGGGAGACAGAGCAAGATGATAATGAGACAGAGGGGGAAATTGTAGTTCTCCTTTGCCTGTTTGTTTTCCACTGGATCCTTAAAAGCAGACCTATCAATTATTCAGTTCATCGTTTCCTTCTTTTCACTGACTCCTAACACATTTGAGTCAATGAGGCAAGGACAAGCAAGTTGTGCATATGTTCAAACTGCTCAGATGGAAGAGGAATTAAA